CCCATGGCAGGGGGGTTGGAACCAGATAGTCTTGAAGGTCCCTTCCAGCCCAAACCATTTGATTTTGTGATTCCACAGAACTTTTACAAATGGTACATGTTTGCAAATGTTTTGCAAAAGTAAAGTTTTCTCATAAATTGTGTGCTAACTGTAAGTATTTGAACATCTTCGAAAACTTATGTTCTTTGATTTGTACTTTTTAGAAGGACAAGGGTACTGACAGCTTTGTATTTAGAGAGGACCCTGGTTTTACACAAAAAAGGACAAAGTAGCTCTTCTCCAGAAAAGACACAGCCGACTTCCCCCCCATCAAGCAGAAATATAATCTCATTGCATATGAACAGTTCAAGTAAATATTACAGCATCTTTTTCGTGATGCTTCCCTCTCCCTCACACTAGTCACCTTTAAAATTTTTTGTTAAGAGAATGGTTTTGAGGTGTTTTTTCATTTCTTATCTTAAGAGATGTTGAATGTTATAAGAAAAATTCATCTTTAACTTCAAGTCATTCTTCTCCTTTCTGCCCCAAATACATACACCCTTATCGTGTGAAAGTATGTAGGCAATAGCTCTGGAATAGGTTGTTGCTGTGTGGTGGGAGACTGTTCTCATTTATTAAAGCAGTTCGTATGTTCAGGATTGTCCTTGCTTCTTATAGTTCAGCTGTACTCATTTTTCAAAGCAATAACCTAATTGCTTGTACTAATTAAAGCCTGTTAGCGAAGCAGTACAGTATTTAGGTCAGCTTTTCTTCACTGTCCTTTTGTGCTTGTGCCTCCTGTTCCTGGCATTTCCCAATTGCTGCAGGTCCTCTTTTCAGACTTGCAGCGTGTCAGCCTTCGTTGCGATGCTTGATGTTCTTCTGCTGTCCTGTTCTGCTTTCAACCGCCTGACCCATTTTCTATATTGTCATCCTGTACCAGTAGTAAAGACAAAAGGCTGGCAAAATTCAACTAGCGTCTGTCAGATGTACATAACCAGACTGGTTTTAACTGGTCGAGTGTCGAGTGGGCAGTCTGAATTATCCTTTGGTTGGAGTGATCTGTAGTTTGGTGTCTAGTTTGCAAGCCTGGTGAAGGTGTAGAAGGCTTTACCATTGAGCAGAAGAGAAGGTTAGCCCCAAGGAACTTTCTTCAGGTTCTCTAATCACTTGCTGCTATTCCCAGTTGTGTGTGAATGTTTGACGTGGAACTCTGGATTGGAGTGGATCCTCCGGTGTAGGAGAGGGGAAGGATAAACTATGGGGTATGTAAAATGAACTGTGTGTTGCTCTCCTGCAGTTAATCTTTTTTTTTTCAGTGTTAGAACTTCTAAGCTGATACTTCCAAGATGCAGTGTTCTTGTGCAAATACAATTCTGTAGACAAAGCATTCTTAATGGGATACGTGATGCATCTCTTGAGCCATACAACGTGCGTCTTCGATTCAGATACACTCTTAAACTATTTCCCATGTAGCGTGGAATTTGCTAGTGTAGCATAACAGCTATGTATTTATTTATTTTAAATCTATTCCACTCCACTCTTGAGGTGAGTCTTATCCTCAGCTCGGCCGTCATTTTTACAGTTACGCCTTCTCTTCCATCTCCCGTGGCTGACCGTCCCACTCTTCATATAAAAATTCCTCCTGGGATTTCATTCGAACACGTGAAATGGAAGTCTGTTACCAGCTGACCTGGTAGTTGTTTATGAGGATATCCTTCATCTTCCTGGAGAAGGAAGATCTTGAAACTTTGGAAAGAAATTGAAGCTCGGATTAGTACTTCTGCAAGGAGGAGAAGAATATTTTTAAAGAAAACAAACCAGAAGTACAGCGGTCTCTTCCTCACATTGCTTTCATTATCAATATTTGTCTTTTCTGGCAAGGTTAGACTGTTCTCTGGGAACAGTTTTCTCAAGTTTGAAAATCAGCATGCTGTCTGAGTAACAGCTATAGAAGAAATTTATTTAAACAAGTGTTTTCATCTTGTCTTTTTCTCCTATTAGGAAGTTCTTTCTGGAGTCGTGGTCATAACAAGTAAGGACACAGTCCAGCACCAAGGTATCTCGTTAACGATGGAAGGATCAGTAAATCTGCAGCTTAGTGCCAAAAGTGTGGGGGTGTTCGAGGCTTTCTATAACTCTGTCAAGGTAAGACCTGTGCAGGTTAATATTTTTAGCAGAAAACTTTTGTCTCTCTTCTCAAATTAAATCTTTCCTTAATGGCTCTCAGATAGTTACAGCACTTCATGGTATGTAAATGATGGAAAGCAGAGGAATGCTCAGCATTATCTAGTGATGTATGATGACCTTCTCGGGGAGGAACTTGCGCTGATTGGAGAGGTTTCTTTAGGGCTGAAATACAGTGACATAAATTGCATCGTCCAGAAACGACGCTTTGAAGGACCATGATTTAAAGAAAAATAATAAATTGTGAATTGTGTGGGTTTGTTTTATTTTTTTTAAAGTGACTGGGTTTAATTGGACTTTTGTGCCAGATCAGTCACTATCACAATAGTTTCTGGAGAGGCCATTGAGGTCGTGTGTTACTAGGGATGATACAGGACCTGCACAGACTGCTCCGTAGAGTACAAGGCTGTGCACAGACAGTTTGCCTGCGGAGCTCCGGGCAGGTCTCCGTGCTGCTCCCCGGGTTTGGAAGTGTGGGGTTTGGAGTCTAGCAGGGCACCTTATCTCAAGCTCCCCATGAACGTGGCTGTACTGATGGAAGCAAGGCTGGCTCTGTCTAGAGGCAATATAGCTACATTTGCAAAATGTTTTGCTTAAGTCAGGATAGCATCAGTGCAGGGCCTTTTAAAGTCTTCAGTTGTATCACAGTTAGTTTACAGTATGAATAATCTGCCCATGAATGACTGCAAAACAGAAAAAAAAACAGTAGAAGCAGTGGATTTTCTTATTCCTGTCCAGTAGAGGAAAAATAATAGTAAAACTCCAGAGGGGAAGGAAGTGTAATCTTCAAGTAGGCTTCCCCAGTGGATTCATAGTTAACCATTGTTCCAGTGAGAGACTCGCCCTAAATACAGATCTTTAGGGTGGGAAGGGGCCTGGGAGAAGGTCGGAGGGAAGGGCTGACTGCTCAGCTGGCACACAGACTTGTTGATTCTGCTGCTCCTATTGAGGGCCGTAATTTAGAACATGGAGCTCCACTTTCCAAAGTGCTTGAGGTTGTGCTCTTTAGCTCTCTAAATATGTTTGGTCATTAGTATGATACAACAATAAAATAGATCATGAATTGTTTTCTGGAGGAAATCATTAATAATATGTATTTTCATTGTAAGACTGGAGCTGTGTGTCTTGAAGAAACACCCGCATTTCTGGAAATTCAGGAAGTCTGTTAGAATTTAGTGGATGTTGTTGGTTCTTGAAATGATGGGGCTGTCACTCTGCTTCAACCTAACTCTCTTAAATATTTATCTTTGCAGCCTATTCAGATTATTAACAGCACCATTGAAATGGTAAAACCAGGTAAACTTCCCAGTGGCAAGACAGAAATCCCATTTGAATTTCCTTTGCATATGAAGGGGAACAAAGTTCTGTACGAGACCTATCATGGTGTCTTTGTTAATATTCAGGTAAGGCAGTCGTATCTGTAAAGAAAATCTGAACTTCTGTTATCTGCAGAATGTATTTCAAAGCATCGCTTATTCTATGGAAGCAGAGAATAAAGTTTTGTGATAAAATTTTGTTTTCGTAGTGCAATGTTTTCTTTTCTCAATTTGGAGAATGAGCAGAGAGTTAGAGATCCTTTGAAGTAAGTAGCTTTTAAGCTTCCCTTTATTAATACAGCATTCTTCTGGTGTCTACTGTATTTTCTAGATATAACTTAAGATTAAAAATTGTGATACATGTTAACCTTTTAAGTACTAGTTTGTAGGCACGTTCTAGTTGCCTTTTTCAGTTCCAGTTTCTCGGAGTCGACAATTTCCACAGGTGGTAACACTTCTTAACTGTGGCAAAGGAACCATTCTAAGGTCTCAGAATCCCATGAATATAATGTTCTTTTTAAAAAATTGTTATGTGCGTTCCCCTTTCTTTTCCAGCAATTTTAAGCTTTTCATTGGAAATAGTTGATGGTAATGAAACTGATGAGATGTAACACGGGATGTACAAGAGGGAATGAAAAGCATACTGGAAAGAGGGGCTTTGGGTTGAGAAAGGTTAAAATGTATTTGCCACGCTTGTTAAATCTTGTACAGTTCTTTTACAGGGTGATGTTTTCGTCTAGTTCTGATTTTATTGTGAAAGAAGTTGCATTTAGCATTTTGTAGATAATCTGTGTAGTAGTACATACCACATACAAGTGTGTGTACCGTTAACTTAGTACCACTCAGACTTTGTTAGCACAGTGGACAACCAACTACTGCTAATAATACTTAAATATTTAAAATTAATTGTACTGACTGACCGTATCCATTTTAAGACACAGGGATAAATCCTACAGGAACAAGGCTACTTAGCATTCAGAGTCCTTTTTCCTGTATTCATTTGTGTGAAGCGTCCTCTTAACTAGAGGAAATCTTCCCATCGCTTATTGTTTCAGGCCTTCCATATGGAGTAAATCTTTACAGAATGACGGTGTAAATGAACAGTAACAAGATGTCTTGCCTGAAATACCTTGTCAGAACTGGTGTGACATATATCTGATCCCTCCTTATGTTGTAGACAGCAACATCCATTTCCTTCATGAAAAAAGCCTGCACCACCGTGTTCTTTTGTTCAAATGTGTAATTTCTTAATGAAGACTCAAACCAAAGTGTTGAGAGCTTCTGGCATCTCCAAAAACATGAATTGTTTGCTTTCCTGTGGAGATGAGTAGTAACATTTCCTGCCCAAATCTGTATGTACTACATGCTTGTAACAGAATCTTGTGGAAACACAATTTTGAAATTTGACCTTTTTTGGTTAAAAATTGTCTTACCATAGGTGGGTTGGTTTGTTTGGGGTTTTCTTTTTTCGAGGGAAAGTCTTCAGCTGTCTCTTGAATGTAAATATTGTGTTAGACAATGCTTTTTCTTACTGAGGAGTGGTTTTTTTGGTGGTTTGGTTTTTTTCTTCAAGGGAAAAGTTGAAGGAACCACTAAATGCAAAAATTTTCAGACCAGTGCTGATGAAGAATCACTGGGTTGTAAAACTGCCCCCCTCTCCCTGTCCCTTGTAGCTCACTGATGAAAGTATTGGATTTGATGACGAATATGAAACTGTTAGCTATTTAGCTGAACTGGAAGTCTTATTACAGTCTGGGATTAAAAAAAAAAAAAGTAACGAACAAACCAAAAACCCACAAAAAACCCCCCACCTACTAGCCTATCAGAAGTAACTAAAAGAAAAATTTCCTTGTTTTTTGTCTACATTCAGATGGGGTTTTTTAAGTACTTCCCATATCTTTTTTTCAGTCTTGGCTTTCTTCCTAATGTAACATCTGTTGTTTGTGGTAGGTATGTCAAACATGGTGCAAAACTGGTTGAGTTAGTTTCCATAATGAAGATAACTTCTCTATGATCAATATCAGTTGGTTTAAGGTATTCTTTAACGGTGAATATTTGTTTTGTCATTGCCTCTCTCATCTATGTAGCTTCTCTTTACAAGCTGGGGATAAAATGTGATTAAAAGGTTAATCATTAGATTTCAGCCAACCTTTGAGAGTCCTGCTCTCTGAAGAGGAAGATGTAGACTCTCCCAAGGTTATTTAAGGTGCACTGATACCTGATAAAACAGATAGAAACTGGGGAACGTTAAGTCTCTTTTCTGGAAAATCAGGCTTGAAGTACTGAAAAATACTTTGTTAGTTTTAAATAAATCAAAGGAAGGAGTTTATTTGCTTCTAACACGTTTATATTTGTTCTCTGCCCGGATCAAGAAATGGAAAAATAGACTACAAACAGTATACTACCTATTTATTTTCTCATTTGAGTAACTAAAGGTGCTGTTTAAGAAATGCTTCCTAGACCTCCGTCTGACTCCTGTGCAGTTTAAAAGCAAGCCTCTGTTTCTTGACGTAGGTATTAGTGTGTTAGCTGGGGGTTCGATATCAAGATGCAAGTCTCTGTTCTCCTGCAGAGACCTTCTAATTAGACCCTGATGGGGAGGCTGTGGGCCGAATTGCGAGGCGTGGGTGGTCCTGCAGCCTCGTTGTACTGTGGTCCCTGGGCTGGGTGAAGTGTAGCGCAGTAACAGCAGGTTTGCTCGACAGCGATCGACTTCAGTGGAAACCGTAGTCTGTGATGGGGGGAGAGAGATGCTCACCGCTCTCGTTTTTGCACGTGTTTTCAGGTTCTGTGCAGAGAGACACCATGAACTAGAAGTTATGAAACCTTAGTCTGAGCGTACCTCATTTTGCCAATTCCTTCTCTGTAAAGAAGGAATTAAAAACAAGACAACAAAATACCCCACCCCAACAAATTCCCTGTCTTGTAAGGACATTGAAAGGCTATGTTGTAGATGCTGAAGCGTACGATTACTGTGATAACCAAGGTCATGCTATTTTTCAGTCACTGGCTCCCTTTTTAGGGGAGAAAGGGGAGGAAATAGGCAGCAAGTTTTTGAATGGTGAACAGCAAAATTAACCTTGTTGCCTGATGCCTGACTTTGCTGTGCGCTGCTGCTTTTAAGTTCAGCCATATGGTTAAAGACAGTTCCCCATTAAATACTCGTACAACTGTTGGCGCTGTTAAATTCATTGTAAGATTGAATCTAAAAGTAGAGGGGCTGTGGATGTATCTTTTTGATAATCGCTTATCCAAAGGATGGTGAAAAGCAATCTCGTTAATCACTCTTAACTGAATGTAACTTGGGTGCTGAAGCCATACAAGATACCACTCTGTCAGTGAATTGGTCCCTCAGTCTCACAGGTTGTTAGGTGACACAGAGGATATGTAAAGCATTTGCAAATGACTATGGGATTGTAAACACAAAGAAAAATTAGCTTTCATTTGGGAGCATCTAAAATCATTGTATACCTCTTCTCTCCTTCCCCTCTCCCCATCACTGGTATATACAGTGCCTACTAATCTGTTGTTACTGTTCCTAATATTTAAGGCATCATTTACATTCTGCACATATGCAATAAAAAGATGAAAAGTTGAGAGAGAGGGGAAATGTTAACTAAGGCTCTTTTCTTTTTCTCTGCCGTCCTATTCTTGCCAGTATACCCTGCGGTGTGATATGCGACGTTCTCTGCTGGCAAAAGACCTAACTAAGACTTGTGAATTCATTGTCCACTCACTGGTAAGTCTGGTTTGCATTAACTATACAAAGTGAGATTTTTATTTCTTTTTTTTTCCCCACTTTAAGTGAAGTTTGGCAGTAAGGTTAGAAAACCAAGTAAAACCATGTAATTTGTAATAGCAACACATGGGATATGTATGAGTAAAGGAAGGTAGCCTCAAAAAAACCAAACCCATCCAGAAGAGCTAGGGTGTCAGTCGCTTGCAATTGGAATAACGCATCTCTCCATTTAAACAACAAGGATTTGGATTATAAGATGTTTTTATACTGCACTGGGTTTATTCTCGTATTCATCCTTTCAGTTCTGAATCAATGGTGTGGTTAGATAAATATTATGGTGTTCTTCTAAACACTGTTTCAGATTATCTGAGCATTTCTTGGCCAAAGATTCCAGGTACCCACCATGCCTGTCCTACAAATGGGAGTTCGTTGGTGAAGAGAAAATACCTGATTTCTGTTCTTCAGATGGCTAATTATGATTTAAAGCCCTGACTCAAAGTATCAAAGTTGGGACTGCATCAAGTTGGAAATAAGAAGCTTGTCAGCTTAATCACCTTTGCTATGAAGTAAGCTCATGGTTGGCAATATGCAAAGATAACTAGGTTAACAAATATCCACATCCCGCGATTGGCAACATAGAGACAGTCTTCCTCCTGTGGAAATATCACTGTGGGATGAGATTTGACTGTCTCACAAGAAATGCTTTGCTGCTTGTTATTTGAAGTTCATGTATCAGGTTGGGTTTTAGTTCATATTGACTTGTAATGTATGTCCAGAGCATCCAGTGTCAGTACAGGCTGTGCCGGCCTAATTAAGTACCTCTTCTTCCACCCACAACTTGCTAGAACATACTGTTTGTATCATTCCTTTGAACTTTAACAGGACGATAAAGTATTAGACTCTCTTGTCTTACTTATGAATAATGGTGGAAATATGTTATTTTAGTTCAACAGTACCTTTTTAAAAGATTTAGTACCTTTTTTAAAGATTTAGCTAGGTGCTATAAAGAAGTTTCCTGTTGGTAAGATTTCATTATTTTCTAAAATATATTATGCTACATTGTATTGGTCCATTATTATAATGTAAGTAAGCCACACTTGTCAAAATAGTGAACAAATTACATATTATGCAGTTTCCTGGTTTTATTTCTTGTTCCCACTACAGCACTTCTTAGATCACAAGTCAGTAAATCATGAATCTCTCAGTCAGGGTGAATTAATGAGGTTTTACTGAACGTATAATTCTCACTGTCAGTGCTCAATGTACCATTTCCCTTAACCTTATTCTTTGCCAGAATTTGTCATTTATGGGAAAATACAGTCAATCTTTTGCTAATATCTTCCATCTTACAGCTGGGCAGCAGAAGCTATTTTGAATTCTTAAGCAGTGAGGGTAGATCCTAACTAAGTTCAGGTTAAGCCCGTCGGTGGTGGTGTGCTCTGCCAGCTCCCAGTTACATACAGTTGGGTCTCGCATAATTGATGCTGCGCTGGCCACTTACTCCAAATACGTAGGGAGAAGACAGCGCACCTCCCCGAGATAAGGCTGGAGAGAGAGGTGGGGGAATGGTGAGGAAAACTTGCCTTCCTGATGCAGAGCGGAGGCTGCCATCTCAGCAGAGCTCAGGACCCCGTCAGCCACTTACGGAAAGACTTAATTCTTGGTTTGGTGATAACTGGTGTAAATAGTTACTGAAGAACCGTAATAACGTGCCCCTAAAATGGCTTCTCCAGTGTGGAAAGCTAACCTGGACCAACCTGTGTTTATTTTACAGCTAAAGCTGGAACGCTCAGCCCATTAAATCAGTGCTACACTAGATTCCATCAGCCGAGGACCTCCTGGGAGGAGTAGGAGGATGGCGGAGGAGAGCTGAGCTCTTACTGAAAGGGCAGCGGAAAGAGTTCAAAGTGCTTAGAGATAACAAGAAGGAGAGAGAGTTTATAAAACATATTTGAAGCAGTGGAGCAAGTTAATTTATAATCTCCCCCCCTCTCCCCTGCCCAGATTTACTAAGTATTAATTATGAAAGGAAACACTGCAAGTAACATATAAAATGTAATTATTTGTAAATACAGAAATGTGAAATTTCACTTTTTTCTGTAGCATACCATATGCTTCAGATTGGTAGTGTATTTCTTCTTTTCCAGGGGGTTTACAGTAGTCAACCACATGTTTTGGTTTTGTTTTCCATTTTTATTCAGTGTAAGCAGAGCTTAGCCAAAAACTTAAAAATGGAGAGCTTCTCGTGGTTTATTGCAATGGCAAACACAAAGTGACCAAAAATTGACACAGTTCTGTTCTACAATCCAGATTTGTGATGCACGGTGACTTGTATTTAGACAATATCATAATGGTATTTAATAAAAGGCAGGAAGTCTCAGGGTTTTTTATTACATAGATGCATACCTTCAGTATGAAGACAGTTCTGAAAACTAACACATCCAACACTTCCTTGACTTTGTTGTCTTAAAATGTTCTCTCTGTGTGTTTTGTAAATCATAGTTGACAGTTTAACTCTTCATTACTTGTAGTCACAGAAAGGGAAACTGATGCCAAGCCCAGTAGACTTCACCATTACTCCTGAAACTTTGCAAAATGTTAAAGAGGTAAGGATTTTCTTATTATTTTATTTTAAATGTAATGCTTGTGTGATTCTGAGTGAGGATGAGAGAGGAATTAAAGGCTGCCCTGCAGATAATCAACTCTTTTTTTTTTTCTTTTCTTTTCTTTTCTCCTTTTTTACTGTTGTGAGCAATAAAGTGATGCTGCCTGATCTCTTGTGATAGAGGTGACTAACATAAGGTGGAACTTTGTTCAGTAATGGTTAAACATTTTTATTATTCTTCTGACTGAAAGATGACAATGAAGCAAGGAAAGAGATTCTATACCATGTGTAGCCAAGATCGTTTAAAAATATGTATTTTGATACTTGGTTACGCCTTTGCAGCCCCAGGTGGCTTTGGGAAGCCTCTATGTACACTGGTAGCTGTCTTGGTCATTTAGCTTTCTGAACACTGGTTTCTGTTTGCCCACTGAAACCTGTGTTCTGTTTTTCCTGATTTTCCTGTTGTGTTCTTTTTGTTAACAAGACTACTTTCCTGCTGTAGGTCTCCCTTCTGCATCCCCAATTTGTCTCCCATTGCTCTTAGTCCCAGACTTCTGAATTTAGACCTACTCTTCCACTTCTTTCTCAAAACAGACCTCTTAATCAGCTTGTTTGGATGTTTCATGCTATCGTTGACCTTATTCTACATACTCACAGAATGATTGTGGTTGGAAGGGCCCTCTGGAGATTGGTTAGTCCAGCCCCTCTGCTCAGAGCGGGTTGCTCAGGGCCATGTATCGTCACGTTTTTGGTATCTCAAAGGATGGAGACTTGCAGTCACTGAGCAATGTTGCAGTGTTTGACGACCCTCACAGGATTAAAAAAATAAATAAATGTTTACAAAGTAATTTCCCTTTATTTCGATTCACATAGTCTATCGACCTTTCAGTAGATAGCACCGAGAGGAGTCTGATTCCATCTTCTCTACTCCTTCCCATCAGGTATTTATACGTATTGCTGAGATCCCCCTGAGCCTTCTGTTCTGCAGGGTGAACAGTCCCAGCTCTCAGCCTCTTCTTGTACGTCACGTGCTCTTAACCATCTTCATGGCCAAATCCAGCAAAGGCTGGACTTGCTCCAGTAAGTCTGTGTTTCTTATACTGGGACATCCTGAATTGGACACACTATCCCCAGTTTTGTCTCGCTAGTGCTGAAGAGATGGAGAGAATCACCTCCCTCGACCCGTTGGCAACACTTTCTAAAGCAGGTCAGGATGCTGCGGGCCCATTTGTGCAGCCTGTTGAGGTCTCTGTGAAGGGCAGCCCAACTATCTGGTTCACCAACCACTCCTTCCAATTTCATGTTATCTGCAGACTTGCTGAGGATCCGCTCTGTCCTGTCATCCACGCCATCGTTGGAAGATGTGCAGTAGCATTGGCTCCAGCATTGACCCCAGTGTACACCACTGGTGACTGGCCTTCTGCTGGACTTTGTGCTACTGATCACAACCCTTGGAGTCCAGCAGTTCAGGCTGTTCTCAGTCCACCTCGGTCTCTGATCGGTACCTCTGGTCTGTGCTCCATCAGTTTGTCCCTGAGGTTGTTTGGAGAAACAGTATCAAAACCAGTGCTGAAGCCAACATAAACAACAGTACCCGCTCCTCTCCGCCTCTCCCCCAAGCTAGTCATTTCATCACAGGAGGCTATCAGGTTGGTTAAGCATGATTTTTGTTTTCATAAATCCGTGCTGACTGCTTCCAGTCACTTTCTTGTCCTTTTTATGTTTGGAAATGGCTTCTGGGTTTATTTGCTCCACCGCTTTCCCAGGGATTGGGGCAAGGCTGGTGGGCCGATAGTTCCTCGGTTCCTCCTAACTGAAGATAAGAGTGACATTTACTGTCGTCTGTTCCTCAGGAACCTTCTTTGTTCATGACAGCCTTCAGAGATAATCAAGATGGGCCTCACAGTGACAAAGGTCAGCTTCCTCAGCACTTGTCGGTGCGTCCCATCAGGTCCCATGGACTTGGGTACATCCAGTCTGTTTAAAAATGTTCTCTGTCCTGCTCCTCCTCTGCCAAGGGTAACTCTTCCTTGCACCAGACTTCCCCTGTGCTTGCAGGGCCCTGGGGTTCCTGAAGGCAAATCTTAGCAGTAACGTCCAAGGCAGAGAAGACACTGGGTACCTCTGTCTTCTTCATGTCTTTTGTCGCTAGGTTCCCTGCCATTTTCAGTAGCAGGCTGACATTTATCCTCGTCTTCCTTTTGCGGCTGGTAGACTTGTAGATGCCCTTTTTGTTGCCACTCATGTCTTTTGATTTAACTCCAGGTGGGCTTTGGCTTTCCCCAAACCATCCCTGCACACTTGGGTAGGGGTTTTATGTTCCTCCTGGGTCACCTGACCCTACTTTCATCTTTTTTATACTCTCTTTTTATGATTTTATCGATAGCATCTTGTTCATCCACGCAGGTCTCTTCATACCTTTGCTTGACTTTCTGCATGTGGGAACAGACCGTTCTTAAGCGTGAGGGAGGTGATTCTAGAAAACCAACCAGCTGTCATGGCTGAACGCTAAATCCAGCTGAGTTAGAGGATGGGCAGGTTGTGTCCAGCAGCCTCACGTGTCTCTGGAGAGTGCTGCACGCTGAAAGCACATGTTTTTCCAAATACAAGGTTGTAATAACTATTCTTGGTGGTAAAATTACTTTTGAGACTACTGCAAAATACTAAGCTCTCAGCATCCTGTTCTTCCTATGATCCACGTTTCCATATAAATTATTTTCTGTTTCTTCTTTCTCTTCTGTATCTGGATACTCTACTCATTGGCTTAGCCAAGACTCAGTGGCGTACATCATGAGGAAGGAGGGAGTCCTGTCCATTAAAAGCTCTTTCTTAAGTTTAATAGCAGACCCTGTGCCTTTCTCTATTGCAAGTACATAACCACAAAAGTAGATCCTAAAACTGCTGACAGCCCTGATCCAGCAGATCTTGGTATTTAATTGTGGAGCTGTCTAAAGAATGGTATTGAATGTGTATGGTAGCAGAAGCAGTGGCTTTCCCCCCAGCCCTGTCTCAGAAAAACGTATGGATCTGAATCATGGAATCGTTATGGTTGGAAGAGACCTCAAAGATCATCAAGTCCAACCGTATACCCGATGCCACCATGCCCGCTAAACCCACTAAACCATGTCTCAAAGCGCCACATCTAAACGTTTTTTGGACACCTCCAGGGATGGTGACTCCACCACCTCCCTGGGGAGCCCGTTCCAATGATTAACGACTCTGACAGTGAAGTTGTTCTTCCTAATATCCAACCTGAACCTCCCCTGGCGCAACTTGAGACCGTTTCCTCTTGTCCTAAAGTGACTACCTGCTGGACAGGTAGATAAAGTCACTGGTTTGGTATATTTAAAATACTAAAATTTCAGTTCTCTGCTTGTCTGGAGATTGTGGCTGAACTATAATTTCTAGACGACTACTAGAAAACTGATTAGGAGGTTTGCAGTAGCCAAGCAGAGCACAAAGAGGTTAGATGAAAAACCAGGATAGATTTGCTGGTATGTTATTGATTCTCATTTTTGGGGGGATTATGAAAGAGAGTGTAAATGATAGGTCCTGCGAGAGAAGACCTAACTAGGATTAAAACACAAAGAGTACTGACAAGAGTAGTAAGGCTCTAGGGAAAGTGCACCTTTAAAAAACCAAGTCTCGGAGACTAGGCTTGAGGAAAATGGCCTCGAGTTCTTGTTCCGCAAGTTCCTTTTATCTCTGTCTCTTAGATTCCTGACCGCTGTACTTTGGGGAATAGCTGTACGATGTCCCTGTGGAGCAGGGAAGTCAGTCTGTGTTTACTAACAGTGGTGGTGAGAAGAACCTGCAAGGGATCATACAGTCAAACAGCATTTCACTAATAGATTATTAGGACTCAACATTTCATAGGGTGGTTTTGTCAGGGATGTGCCTTCTGTTATTTAAGTTAGGAGCAAATACCCGGGTGAGGTCACGTTTACTAAACACATGAAAATTCCTCTCTCTTTATTTTCCCCAAAGATTTGTTTTGGGTGGAACAGCTAAATTCCATGGAGGTGTTGGGTATTGAGTGAAACAGTCTGAGCGGTAGCTGAGGAGAACTTCTCTGCCATTGCTACTGGCAGCCAGGGCTAAGAAGCAGAACACACAGATGGGGAGAAAAAAGTTTGCGACAGGAGAGTTGGTTTGGAAGAAGGGAAAAATCAGTTACATGGGCAAGGAAATCGGATGCCACAAGCAAGTGGGAACAGATGGTTGGAAGGTAGGGACTAACATCAAAGATCTCAATAACAAAAAATTAAGGAGGGAGAGAAGAACAAGGCTTGCAAATGAAGGGGAAGGTCAGAGCAGGATGCTCACAGAGTTTGAGGAAACTTGGATGGTGAAGATACGAGCTGAAGATGTGGGTAGAAAACTTGACTGTTTCAGTAGCCTCCTGCCAGAACTGGAGATGTCACTGGAGCTTCTGGCATACGAGTTTCTCTGCTGGCAGGGAATATCTGTGCTGCCTGCTGGCCCAAAAAAGGGGAGGGCAGGGGGAGCGAACCCCCTGCTTTGGTCTTTTATGGAAACATACTTGCTGTTAATAGCATTTTGAAAGTTAAGTGTGATCTTGTATTCAAATTAAGCTCTTTATTAATTGTCCTTCATTGGTGTCTTCGTACATAAGCAGTATACTACATCTTGCATTAAACAAAGATTTTTAAATGCCTGTCTTCAGTAGTAGTGGCTATGAGAGAGAAACTTAAAAAGGTGGGAAAATCACTGAAACGGCAGACTATATTTGTAATCGGTAACCAAACGGGACCGGAATGCCGTTCCCTGGAGTGCTGCCAGCTGACTGAACTTGACCGTGCTGTTAGCTCCTGCCAGCCTGCCTCCTTCACCTGGCGGTTCCCGACTACGTTAATTGTCCCAGCCACGTTTTGTCAGTTCAGCCCAGCCAAGTACTCCTGTGGATGGAAGGGGTAGGGGGGCTGCGTGTCAAGGGGGAGGGTCGTAAGGGATATCTTAATGCACCCGCGTCAGGATGCATACTTAAAGAGTCATTTAAGGTACATGAGGCATTTCTGAACTTTTAAGTTCTTAACTTTGCAACTTTTGGGGATTTCCTATGTGTTTTGATGACTGTCTGCCTGTAAGGTATTTTTTTTCTTAGCCTGCTCTTACAGTTGTGACTCCTTTTTTTTTTTTTTTTCCTTTCTCTTTTCTTCCCTGCCAATCTTTACAGAGAGCTTCACTTCCAAAATTTCTCATCAGAGGTCATCTCAGCTCTACCAACTGTATCATTACCCAGCCGCTGACCGGGGAGCTGGTAGTGGAGAATGCTGAGGCTGCAGTCAAAAGTATTGAGCTGCAGTTAGTCCGTGTGGAAACCTGTGGTAAGCCTCTCTCTGAATGGAAGGAGTACGGAATGGGCTGCAGTAATTACCACCTGCACTCCTTCAGCTTAAATACGAAAGGTTGTTAAAAGCTGTATAATTAAAAAGACTTGCAAAAAACTGTTTTGCACTTCAGGTGGAACAGTCCAAACATTAATTGAAATAATCTCTATGACCCTTAACTCTGAGTGCCAGTGTGAAAACTTGCAGGTCAAAGGGCAAAATGTTTTGCCCTCGCATCCCTCCCTCCAAACCCTGGTGTATCTGTGTTGTAAACTTTGGCCACTGCTTTCTCTTCCCCTTCCTCTCCCTCTCAATTGCCCACTTTCACCAGGGTGTGCAGAAGGTTACGCCAGAGACGCCACAGAGATACAGAACATTCAGATTGCCGACGGGGACGTCTGCAGGGGCCTGCCCATTCCTATATACATGGTGTTTCCCAGGTTGTTCACCTGCCCTACCTTGGAAACGACAAACTTCAAAGTCGGTAAGTGTGTAGGACTTTACGCTGCGGTGTTGTCTTTCATCCGAGGTGAATTTCTAGTTTCGATTTAGCTTCTGGCAGGTAACGGGATAAATCGCCGACAGCACTGCAGGAAGAACCAAGGACATCCATCTGTTTCCCTGAACAGGATTGTAGGCTGCTGGATTTCATAGAGATTGAGAAAAGACAGCCCAAATACTTGTAACTAAAACCAGTTGTGCAAATATTGAGCTACTTCTGATTAATAGAATCAGATGGTAAAGGGACAGGAGAAGCAGCATAATGGCAGGTAATTTTTTTTTCTGCCAAAAAATTATGTGTGATGAAATACACTTGAGTAATAGTCCAAGAACGAAATGCCAAGATGATCCCTTCCTTCTGATCGTCACCAGTGAAAACCTCTCTTTCCATTTCCTCTCCGTTTTGTTTCCCATCCTCCTGCTGCACAGACTCAGCAGTAACAGTAAGCTTGGGCTGAGACTTGGCTTTTCTTGATTGACACCAGCTGCTCCTTCCCGCTTCTAACATTTTCCTTAACAAACACCTGAAATGTTGGATTTTCCTCACTTGTTCAAATAATTACTGCAAAAATTCTCTTTGCTAGCCTGGTTTTCTTCCCTTCATCCTGCTGGAATCTGTTGGTTCTTTTTTTTATTATTTTAGTTTCTTGTATCAGATTGAAGCTACAGGTCCCTGCCTTTAGGATCCTTCCCAACTGAAGTCCCTCCTGCTTTTCTGCTCTCTATCTTGGACAATTGTGCACAACACTTTCAGCTTTGTCCACCCGTTTATCTGGTCCCCCAAGAGCATTTTTGCACCTGCTGTGTACGGTGATTTTCCCCACAGTAGTATTCTTCTTTACTTTTTGCCATTTCCAGCTCTTGAACAGTAATTTACAGTGGCAAATGGCTACTGTTAGTGTAGTGTCTACTTTGATTTATAAGAACAGTCTTAATATAGTTAATGAAGATTCTAAAAAAGGACAATTATTTTCACTTTATTTTGATCTCTGGTTCCCTTCATTTATTAACTCTACCTGACTCTCTATTCTGCCTCCATTTAGGATTGATTATAGATCTGATCGTGATTTTTGTCTTGAACAACAATATATCAAAAGAGCAGATTTTTCTTTTGAAATTTTTTTTTCATAGTGCGCAGGTATTTTGGGTTTTGGTGTTGAATTTCCTAAGGCCATAGGTAATGCAGGGTTCTGAGGCTGTTACACGCTGACAGCAGGAGAGGAGCCTGCTCCCTTAACTCTTCCACTTAACGTCCTTCTGAACACTGCACGTTGGTGTGAGGCGTCTTTCCCAAAATATTTTAATTTTAGATGTCTGAACTCTGCCTCTTCTCTAGAAGACAGTATGTCATAGCTCTTCAGTGATGGGGAAGTGAATCCAGAGGAATCCCAAAGGTGAGAATGAGCCAGGGTTCTCTAGGAATGGTCTGAGGTCAGGGATGCGCGTGGTGAGGTTCTGCCTGGAGTACGGTGTTCATCCCTGCTGCAGGAAAATCCAGGGTAGTGAAACAGCTTGGAAGAGAACTGCTGTGTATGAGAGCATCCTACAGCAGCAATGCAGGTTCGTATGGAACTCTGTATATTTTATCCCCCTCACCCCTGCTCTTTCTTCCAGAGTTTGAAGTGAACATTGTTGTCCTTCTGCATGACGATCATCTCATCACAGAGAACTTTCCGCTGAAGCTCTGCAGGATGTAAATGGCCAGAGGAGAAATCACTTCAGGATTTACTGAAAAAGGACAGAATTTGTCAGAGGCGAAGTAAAATTTGATCCATGTCTTATGTTAACTGAAAACACATCACTTCCTTCTCCCTGCTGGTGTTCGGTTGCGTTCGGTTCTCTAGAAATCTTGGTAAGGCGTTGCCTGCCTTGCGATAGACTACATGGATGTAGCCGTCCAGCTAGCTTTGTCTCAGGTATCCTGACTTCAACCACTATGTTTTCCCCGGTAGTTCTCAGACAAATCCTGAAGGAATGATTCTGTGTATTTCTACAATTTCTATTTCTACAGTTTCTCTCCTTACTTCATTTTGTACTACTTGTTCCAAAACCCTTTAAAGACCTCTTAAACCTAGAAAGTCCTGTTATACATGGTGTGTATACACTGGGGGGGATGGTATGGGATTTGTAATATAATATTGAGTAGTGGTTTTGAAGGTAAAATAAACGGTGCTACAACCATGCAGGGTGGTGCTGTGGGATGAATATTGCAAGATGAAAGTGAAATTCCAGACCAGTCGGGGCTGACAGGGCCCTCTGGAGATCCCCCAGTCCAA